TAATGACTCTGGCGTTAATCCTCTCCAATTTACGGCCACTCTGAGCGGACGGAATTTGACCTACGTCACCGGTCACGTGACCCCCTTTGGCCCCACGTCACGTGGCACGAGCTCACCGTTGACCCCGCGGCGACGGACGGCGCCTCAGGGGCCGGAGTCGGTCCCTTTGATCGGCAGTTGTGTGGACGCCGCCGTTTATCGGAGGCGTGACTGTTTAAGTTGGGTAGTCGCCGAGGGGCAGCCGCCTCCTCGCCTCCCCCACCCCCACCCCCAGCTGCCAGGCTTGCAGCTGTTGAGCCGGGGGAGTTGGGAGTGGTGACCTCGGCCATCGGGGTCACGGCGGGCCGCCGCCAGACATAACACCGCGAGGCACATACTGCGTGTTGCCCTGACAAATGGTTCCGGCGCGCACACAGCACACACACACACGGCCGGGCTCGACGCTGCTGCTCGCGCTGCAAAACACGCCCGCCGCGGCTGGCGATCAAGGCTTGCTGGTGTGGATATAGAAAGTCAGGAGCTGTCCTTTTTATTTGTGAGAGGTCTATGGTCGTGCTCGTGATAGGTCATATCACCAGCTATGAAATGGTCTTTCTGTATTGTGGCTGTTTTTAATCGCAGCGAGGGATCATATTTTAAATGCAGGACATCCATAAATATACGAGCTGATGACATCAAGTCCCGGCGAATCATGGAGCGGCGGTAGCAAGAGAGAGGAAGAGAGAGAGAGAGAGGGAGAGGGCGAGAGAGAGAGGCGAGGGCGAGAGAGAGTGGGGGCGAGAGAGAGGAGGGGCGAGGAGAGAGAGGGAGGGGCGAGAGAGAGAGGGAGAGGCGAGAGAGAGGAGAGGGAGAGGAGAGAGAGAGAGGGAGAGGGAGAGAGAGAGGGAGAGGGAGAGAGAGAGAGAGGAGCGAGAGAGAGGGAGAGGAGAGAGAGAGAGAGAGAGGAGAGAGAGAGAGAGAGAGAGAGAGAGAGAGAGAGAGAGAGAGAGAGAGGAGAGAGAGAGAGAGAGAGAGAGAGAGAGAGAGAGAGAGAGAGAGAGACCGCTGGGTGATACGTAATCGAGAGGTGGGCGTTAATTTGCATATGCTGTAGCCGGGAGCATCCGTGATGGATGGCCTGTCAGGCGGTGATTGGTTTGTTTGGGTCCTGTAACCCGCTGTGGACGAGCCGCTGTCACCCATGGTTCGGTACCTGTCTCGTGCGCCGCCACCGCTGCCCTCTGTCGAGGAATGCCGCCGCCAGCTGGGAGCCAAGCGAGACCTTTGGGTCGGGCGCGTGTCGTCGCATGCCTGCGCCACGTGCCATTGCATACTGAGCGGCGTCATGGTTCACAGTCGTCATGAGCTAGCCGCGGTATCGCTGGTGCCGTTTGCTCATCCCGCTGGAGAAGGTGGCATCGGTGTGTTTTAAAGCGATGCGTGCCGTTGTCGTTGTAGGTCACTTCTTGGGCAACTACACGGTGCTGGACGTGCTCCGGCAGGCCGGTTACAAGGTCACCAAGGTCGGACCCAGGGAGCGTATACGAAGGTGAGCACGCCCCAGACGCATCCCCTGCTGGTGGGATAGCAAATACGCCCCAGACGGAGCCGCTGCTGGTGAGGTAGTGAGCACGCTCCAGACGGAGCCCCTGATGGTCGGGTAGTGAACACGCCCCAGACGGAGCGACAGCAAACACGTCGCCGCAATTCAGCACGGCTAGCTGCGGGCGTCTGTGCCTCGTCCCCAAAGACGTCGATACATGTTGGAACAACGGGAACCGGTCAAAAATAGCGCTGACGCGATCTTCGTAGTGGGCTTAGAGAGTGGCGCGTTGCAGACTCTGAAGACCTTGTGACATATCAGTTCCCTACGGAATGTACCGCAGCTTGTGGTATGGACACTAGGGCCGTCGCCCTTCCGTGACACGCCTCCTCGCTCAGGTACAACCGCCGCCGGCGGCCGGACGGCCCGGATCCGGAAATGATCGACTTCCGGTCGACGGAGCCAGTTCCGGAGGACTACTCCGAGCCGACCAGAGACGGTGCGGAGCTGACGCCGTCTCGGCCGGCCGGCGGTCCGCGCGGCAAGAAGTACACGGAGAATTTCAGTGACCTCTGGGTGCGCATCGACGACCACACAAAAAGGTGAAAATGGCAAGGTGGAGCGTCGTTATTTTTTCACGTGTTCTATCCCCAGTCCATGACTGCATTCACGCTGAGTTTTAGAGTGACAAGAGCATTCCGGATTTACAAGCAAAACAATAAAAAAGGGGAAGCGCAGGACTAGGAGGACTTCCCTGCCCCCCCCCCCCCCCATCGGAACCGGTCCTGGGGTCTAATTCCTGTTTTTTTCTGTGACGCCCACAGTATTGAAACAGCCGTCTATGCCAATCCAGAGCCGGAGGTGAGCCGTGGGGGTGACGCGCGTGTGGCCATGTTTCAGCCGGGCGGACGGGGCATGGCCGGGCGTGACGCCATCGACCGAGGCCGACCAGCCGCTGCGCGTGCTGTTCAACGTGCCGGCTAACACGCCGGCCCGCTCGGAGGCCGCCATCCTCGGCCCGTCGGCGGCGCTGTTGGCTGCTCTGCTGTTCATGGTGGCGGCGCTGTCACCGCCGCGGACTTAAGCTACGGAAATACGACGCTAGGTGGCAGTGATGTGCGGCAGTGTTGGCTCTGTGGACTACAGCTTCTGAGAAGCAGCGGCAGATGACCGCCTTAAGTGCGCCTTACAATGCAAGGCCGATTGCTCTTGGATCGGTAGTGTGGGGCCCTAATGTGGAATGTGGGGTGTTATGTTCTAGTCGCGTTGCCATATGCTGTATCCATCAACAATTAGGTGGATGAGCCCAATTAATATTCCAACGATCGTGGAAATGTCTGCCACCGGCCACACGTTTTTCGCGCTGATATCGTCGGCTTTGAGATAGTGAGCGACGAAGTGACTAGCACAGGCAGATTTAATATTGGACGAACTTGACATTCGTGACGATGTGAGGTGAGATATAGCGTAATTTTGATTGTTACGCGATGAGACGAAGTGTAGCGCACGAAGTTCCATGCATCACCGTATAATACATTGACTGAACGTGGTCTGGAAACATGTTGCCAGGTTACTATCGAAGGCGGTCCTTGCTTTGGAGGAGACCATCATTTCTGGCCGACTACTGCGCAGGTCTTAGTTTTGCTAACTGGACAACTTCAAGTGGGGTCGATGGGGGCTCACATGATTCTGAAAGCGCATTCTCAAGGCTGTGTGCGCGCAATTCACGCGCAATCTATGGAACGTGAAGATGCCCGATACGCTGCGCATGGGATGACAGTGTCTATGTCTGCTCGAAGAGCACTTTTACGAGAATAAGTGAACTGTTTGAGCGGGGCGTATATGTTGCAGCTACTATATTTTGAATTTCAGCTCGTTAAGTGGAGGCATCTTTTTTCTGAAGTGACGCACAAAGGATATCCGCTACAAATGCGATGTGTGGCACAGCTAAGCTAACGTGCCACACTCCAGGGCAGAGCCATAGTCATGCGGAGGGAAGGGGAGACGGTGGATTAGGCCCACTTTTCATTTTCACTTTAGCACCTTAGATGGCTCCTTTGTTTGTTATAACACCTCGTTGAGCTCCATTCGTGTCCTTCTTCAGACAATCCTAACTGTGACCTCGTGCTGAGGAAATTGTCATCGATTTCCCGCATCACACAAAATGTTTATTTCATATTTTCTGACATGGCTTGTAAAGTTATGCAGTATTACTAATTTCAAAAAGTACGCTCATTCCAAATCAGCTGTGACATAAGTATAACGTATAGAAGCATCATAAAATGCTTACAACGGATCCAGTATCTCGACACCACAATACTGTTCAAATATAGCGCATTACGCACATAGCCACGGAGGCGTTCATTTCCCAACACATCAATCGGTGGAAGTTCTGGCGCCCGGTCGCACCAGATCTCATCACGGCGAGCAGTCTCACGGACCAGATCTCATCACGGCGAGCAGTCTCACGGGCCAGATCTCATCACTGCGAGCAGTCTCATGGACCAAATCTCATCACGGTGAGAAATCTCACAGACCAGACCTTATGACGACGAATGATCTCGGGGACCATATCTTATCACGGCGAGTAATCTCACGGACCAGTCTCATTACGGGGAGCAATCTCACCGACCAGATCTCTCACGGGGGGCAATTCCACGGACCAGATCTCATTACGACGAGTAATTTCACGGACCAGATCATATCACGGCAAGTGATTTCACGAACCAGAGCACATCACGTCGAGTGACTTCACGGACCAGATTTCATCATGGCGAGTGATCTCACTGCTTTCGGCCGCCCTGTGCCACAAGTATAAGTTGGTAAGTGTTTGTACCAGGACTGTCAAGCCAAGCGCCTCGTGGGCCGCTGGTAATTCACAAAATATGTTTCGCGGTCGTTTCAGATGTCTTTTGTGAAGCCGTATCTTTTTAGAAATATCTGAGTGTATCAAAGGATTTCTTCCCGATTCCTTCGGTATAATGATTGTAGGACACCTTTTACCCGCCAACGCGGTCATAAAACTAAAGCTAGGTAATGAAATACATGCAATTGGAGCAACAATTGCATGATTTTCCCACGAGATTTGTCTACCGCGGCTGCGGGCGCCCTTTCACGGGATTTGTTGGGACGATGACGTCAAACTTAAATTGTTTCGTGGCGTACGGACATTCAATGCGAACATTGTCATTATTTCACTACCTGCGACATCAGACGAGCCCAACCCATCGTTTCAATGTTGGTGACGTCATACTCGCGCCTTGCTAGCATTTCAACGCTGAGTGGCGTCAGATGTCAGTCGGTGCGGAACTTCACAGTATCACGTGAGGAAGGTTACGACCGAATTATTCTCGAATGATGAAGGTCGTTTACAGTTCGCAATGCTTACGATAGTTTTCAGTGACGTGGACTCCGCTATGGAGACAAGCGCTGAGGGTCAAGGCCGCTCTCGAGGAGATGCAGTGCCCCAGCCATGCATGTATAGCCAGTTTCCATCCCCTTCCGGAAGTGTCTAAAGCAGACACGCAAGTGTTCCGGAACGGCTCGTCCGATCGCCTTGAAACCTTCACCAATCAATTCCGTGCGATGGGGTGAGTCATGGAGAGTCAATATCGAGACCTGACACCTCGGAAACGCGATGGGAAAATTTTACATGTAAATGCAGACAACTCAGATCTCAGAGCCTCCTGGACCGATCACTGTGAAACTGTCCCCATTAGATGCCCCATACCTGATCCCTTCTTGCAATTCCAAATTTGGTGACCCTAGGTCAGGTCAAGAGTCGTCAAATTTTATTAAGTCCAAAATTATTGCATGCAGACAACTTATACCTCAGAATCTACCACGCCGATGGCTGCCAAGCCTTAGCATTCAGTCCGCCACCAAACCTAACTCTTGGTTGAAGCTGCAACTATGGTGCCATTTATAATTATGTCTTTTCCTTTATGTTTGTGTTCAAGACAACGTGCAGCGTGGCTGGGCCGGCCTTATGAGGTTGAATTTCCCCTTAGCGGAGGTGTTTATCGTGGCGATACTATGCACAATTCGGCGCATGATTTTCAGCACAATACTTCCGCTAAGGAGAAATTTAACCTGATAAGGCCAGCCCAACCCAGCTTGGGAACAAACATAAAGGAAAAGACAATTATGAATGGCATCATACTTGCAGATTCAATAGAGAATTAAGGCAGATGGCCTACCGAATGGTAAGGTTTGGCAGCTATCGGCGTGGTAGATTCTGAGCAATAAGTTGCCTGCAAGAATTTTGGACTTTGTGAAATTTGACGACTTGTGATCTGACCTAGGACCACCAAATTTGGCACTGCAACAGGGAATCAGGTATGGGACATCCCATGGGGAAGGTTTCACAGTGATCGGTCTATTAGGCTCTGAGATCTGAGTTGTCTGTATTTGCGTGTAAAATTTTCTACTTGCGTTTTCGAGGTGTTTGACCTCAGGTCAGATCTCAATATTGCCTCGCCATGACTCCCCTCATCTCCCGGAATCAATTGGTGAAGGCTTCAGGGCGATTGGACGGGCCGTTTCGAAAAACTTGTGTGTTTGCATCGTATGCCTGTTTTTAGATCCTGCCCCTCCCCCTTTCTGAGGATGTGAGGTGCACAATATGTCGCCTCGTATCGTTGATGACGTCAAACGTGCGCCCTGTCGCCGTCCTACTTCTGGTGACGTCAGATATGTGCGCTGTCGCCGTTCTGCTGCCCATGACGTCGGACACACCCCTGTCAACGTTTCATGACTTCTGGCGTCATACATGCGCTTTGTTGTCGTTCTACTACAGGTGGCGTCAGACATACGCCCTGTTAACGGCCTATTGCTTGTGACATCTGACATGCGCTCTGTCCCCGTTCTACTTCTGGTGACGCCGGATGTGGGCCCTGTCGTCATTCCATTGCTAGTGACATCAGACATGGTCTTGTCGCCGTTCCAATGGCGGTGACGTCAGACGTGCAGCTTGTCGCCAGTCCACCGATGACATCAGACGTGCGCCTTGTCGCCGTTCCACTGGTAGGTGCCCGTATACTTGAATCCGAGACGCCGACTGAGGTCGTCGGCCTCTTGTGGACCTCGCGAGCCGTACCTGAAACAGGCCCAAATGTGGCTCAGGTTCGCAGGTACAGCTGCAGGCAAAAAGAGGGCCTCTGAGCAAGATTAAAGTTTTAGTGACACTAGTACGCGAGGGTGGTCATTTCGTTTCATGGATTACCTCAAGATAAATTTTAATTTCCACTTCCTCGTTGTGACACTGTTTTTACTGAAGGCACAGAAGGTGCTCAACGTGAAAACCACCGATTAGACCGCAAACAAATAACAATATTTTCGTTCATAAGGAATGCTGAAACCGAAGGATGACGAGAAAAAAGCAGTGTTAGTCGTGATAAGCCGTCGCAACTCAGAATGAAGACTATCCAACAGGTGGAAGAATGGCGGTCCACAGCGAAGAAAGTGCCTGGTCATCACCCCGGTCCTGCTGTGCGCTCGTCCGTAGTTCCGCCCACCTGTATGGCACCGGCTTGGGTCTGGTCTCCTCAATGGTGTGCAGCAGCGGCGTGAAGACCCGCCAGGCCTGGGCCAGCTCGTCCGAGCGCACAAAGTGCATCTGAGAGCCGCAGAAGACGTCCAGCACCAGCCGCTCGTAGGCGTCCGGAAGCTTCAGGTTCTGCAGAAGGCGGGGCGGGCTCAGCAGACAGCTCAGGCATCAGAGATGCAGGGACTGAAGGGGCACGGGCTACTAGAAGGCGCATGGCACATGCACCAGATACATGACTCGGGCCGAGCTCGGGTTCGGGTCGAAAGAGACGTGCTTATCCAACGGGAAGCAATGAGACGAGCGGGACAAACAATACTTTGTATCTCTTAGATAGAGCGTGTTAAACCAACTTCCACCGACTCTCGACTGCCCTTAAACAAAGCCCGAACAAAGCATTGCTGCCCTTTCACACATTACAATAAATGCGCATGACGGACTGACATTACAATAAACATGCATATCACTTAAGCATGCTTGAATAGTCGCGATAATATCAGATTTGGGAGACGAATTTCGGCCACCGTCTGTGGCGCACCCTGTATCTGGCGGCGTAAGTGAGGTCCAGCTCGGTCTCCTCCATGTCGAAGGTGATGCCGGGCTTCTTGGTCATCATCTTGACGTAGACAGCTTCACCGGGCTGCACGCGGACCACCAGCTCGTTGCGACGTGTCTGACCGCCGTGGAAGATGTCGCCGGCCACGTCTCTGTACTGGATTCGCACCTCAGCCTTCCGCTCGTTTAGCGCTGGCGAGGAGCACATCACTGCGGTCTACAGAAGTCCTTACACATACAAAGGAACAGAGGTCCGACGCTACGGCAGAATGTGCTTTGCTTACAAAGGCAGGGGTGTGTTATTTTTGTTTGATTCAATTGCACAGGGGTTGGTGTTGGAGCCTTTGCTCGTTATTATTTCCCAATAGCGATTGAGTTCGACATAAAAGCATGAAGACATCTGGCCAACAAAAGGCCACAGTGGCACAACGCAGTTGGCCTTTCTTGAGTTCCGCACACAGAATGTGTGTGGAACTTTTATAAGGTGAAGTTTTCCACGACACACATCCTTGCACACGATGCGACGTACATTCATGCACACGACACGACACTCCCCGCACACGACAGGACGCATGTCCCTTGCTGAGGTCGGATCGGCCAGGAAATCCTGTGAATTATAATGGATGCATCCAGAAATAATGCAAACCCAGATCGTTCGCTGAATGCAGCGGGTTTTCGCACGCGTTTTCAAGGAGTTCAGCTCCGTTGCTTAGCGCGGCATGCCCGCAAACTCTGGCGGGATCTATTTAACAGAAATCAGCAACTGTTTCGATTTCTTAAAATTAGCCAAACAGTTCCGAGATTTGTGGGAAGCGGAGGGGGGGGGGGACATCCGCCACCCCTCACCGGAACAGGGCTAATCAGCAGCCGGCCAGGAATAAGGTAGCATGCAGTACACCGACCCCGTGATACCAATGAATGCAATCTTTTAATTGCTTGAACTGTCAATATTTAACACTAGTATCAGAGCTAGTTCAGTTTTCATTGAATCAGTCACTTCACGAAATTCCGGTGCGTGAATTAATGTTGTTGGTTTTCGGGTATTGCCGGTGAAAATGAGATCCGGCAAGCAAGTCGTCCATTCTTGTCATTTCCAAGGTCGCGTGCTAATAATCTGGTCACATTCAGATTATACGACAAAGAGTGGAGCAGATAGCTTTCTGAAGATGCCGACTGCTAATCATTTTAAACTTCGAACATAGAGTGCATAACGCTATTTTCAGCAAAACGTTGGGCACCCTCGGATATTTACCGGTTGTTGTTGGATGTTTCAGGCTACAAGCCGAATGGTGTTCCCCTAGAGGGCAAAATTACGTTGTGTAACACTTATTTTACACCATCTCCAGGGAAACGTGACACAGGCAAATGAACGTAACACATTATGCTGTGAAGATGGCGGCAAACATGCCATCAGCTCCACAGCGGCAGTGCTGGCATCTGTTGGTGGTCTCTGCAGACTACAGTGTCTGCATCGACTACCTTTGCCGCAACGCAGGATGAAGGGCACACCCTCCCAGCGTTCGTTGTTGACCCAGAGGGCGGCGGCAGCGAAGGTAGGCGTCACCGACCCCTGCCGGAGGAGGTCGTCACAGGCGTAAACGTGACGCCCCGCCCCGCTGCTGCTCTGAATGCTCCGAGGCCCTAACCCTTTGTCGATGGCCTTCCAAACTTGTGTGACGTCACCACTCAATCACGCGCTCAGCTCGGTTCCATTTCAGGGTCTGGAGGGCCGGGCCGACCCGTGCATGCCGTCGTGTCCCTTCCACAACACTGCTGCGGTAAATAGATGTTCTTGGATAGGGTCCGACTGATTTTTTTTCTGCGTCCCGCCAGACAAGAAGATAATACAAAATTGAATTGGGGAAAAGTGAGAGCGATACATAGTTTCAGCATGCTCTTGGGTAAAATGACGTCCGAAACGGTACAGGGAGATGAGTAGTGTATTATACTTCCTGACCACATGACTGGCTTAAACGTCTGGGGACAAGGCAGAGTCGACAACTTCCAGCAGCCGGACGGAGTTAGAGGGTGACAGGGTCTGCTGAGAAACAGTTAAATGCAAACTCTCGCTCTTTTTGATGTTATGGTTACTTCTTTTGTTATGGCATTGACATTCTGTGAAAAGCCTACAACAGATTTTAACTACAACCATAGTAAGATTTTGAGCCATTATCAAGACCTCATGTCAGCTTTACTTAGAATACGTCTTGTGTGATAATTAAAAGCGTCATTATTGCAATTAATGCTCACATTCATGCAAACATAACCACCAATGACCTTTCTATGCTGGCTATGGCTGATCTGGTCACGCCTGAGGCTAGACACATCCTTGCTAGAGTTTGTCCAAAACAGCGGACAGCCAAACGTAATGGTTATGAAATACGCAACACACTCACACCTTTCACGCGATAAGTCTCGCATGAGGTCCACCCGCGTGTCGGCGGGTTCTGTACCGCTTACCTTGGGCACGGTAGGGTCGTCCAGATAGCCCTGCTTAGCGTCCCCCTCGCCGTGCGGGTCTCCGACGTACTGCCCCAACACCACGTCGTCGAGACTCAGCTCCCGCGTGCACTTGAGGACCTTCACCTGCGGACAGACGCAGACCCGGTGTCCAGTGGCGCAGACCCGGTGTCCAATGACGCAGACCCGATGTCTAGTGACGCAGATCTAGTGTCCAGTGACGCAGATCCGACGTCCAGTGACACAGACGCGACGTCCAGTGACACAGACCTAGTGTCCAGTGACGCAGACCCGACGTCCAGTGACGCAGACCCGTGTCCAGCGACGCGGACCCGACGTCCAGTTGACTCAGACCCGGTGTCCAGCGACGCGGACCCGATGTCAACGTAACGCTATCAAAGTGACGCAGGCCCGATATCCAGTGACTCAGATCCGGTGTCCAGTGACGCAGACTTGGTGTCCAGTGACGCAGACCCAATGTGCAGTGACTCAGACCCAGTGTCCAGTGACGCGGACCCAGTATGCAGTGACGAAGACCACATGTCCGGTGACGCAGACCTAGTGCGCTGTCACCCGGACCCAATGTCCATTGACGCAGACCTAGTGTGCAGCGACGCAGACCTGATGTCCAGTGACGCGGTAGATATCGGCCATTCATTGGAAGGACCACTGTGGGGTTACATGGTGAAAGCCCGCGTCCACACGCTGTTCATTTGAAAATGGAGTTCTTTCTGCGGTGAGATCGCAGACAGAAAACGCATTTTTAGGGAAGACTGCGCATAGTTGAAGAAATTAACGTAAACACAAATGTGATCCAACAGGAAGTTTTGCTAGCTACGGATGTCTGACGCTTGTTCTAGGCTGGCGAGAACCTTTTCATCTCGTATGTCGTCTGCTGAGGCCGAGCAGGGCTTTTCCATGGCTACCAGGCACATGATTTGCAGCAGGTGGTTCTGCATGACATCCCTGGGGAGGTGACAGAAAACGCAGATGAATCACCCCAAGCGCTGGGAGGCATATTTTGGAATCAACTCACGAATCGATACATGGACCTTGCGTTTCATGAGGTGCATGAGGTGCATGAGGTGCATACAATGCGTTGTACCCACCATTGCTGTTAAGTAAATGCCGTTCGGATGAATAATTCTGCACGTCGAATATCGTGAATACTTGGTGCACAAGATCGCTGCTTAAAACTCGGTGTTTCACCAAGAGATGACAGAACCAGTATGACACTCACATAAAAATTTAACAGGACATGTTTTTCATTTCTCAGCACCATGAATTTTTGCATTCAACCCCAATAAATGATGATGCACAATGCGCTTCTCAAACAGGATATCAGATAGGTGCATAACAAGCACGTGCCTACCTCCAGAATCGTGCTCCATGGCGAATGACTCAAAGTTCATGTCGTTTTAATATGACCCTCCAAATGGCTGACGGGGGTGAGCGAAGTGCCGGGTAAGGTCATTAGAGTTGTTAGTTTTCCTTTAAGCTCCAGGTAAGGAGACTAGTCAAGGCTGCGGTCCGAATATGCATCTCCTCCTATCCTTACCTATTACACACACACAAACACCGCCCCGCCGTCCCTGATGAGTTGGCCACCAAATGGGGCAAACGTTGAGCTGTTGAGCGTCATCGAACAAAAACCCGCGTGTTCCACACGCTGTGCATGGTGCTCATACACAACCGTCGCACCTGATGATTCCGAACTCGTCGAAGTATCCACCTCGGCCCTTTGTGCCGAATGGCTCCTTGAAGGTGATGTGCACGCTGGAGATGTAGTCCCTGTTCCAGGTCGGACTGAATATGACGTTGCCAAACCTGCCCGAATATCGGAATATATGCCTCGAGAACATGCAAACGGTCGCCATCCGCTATATTAACTAACAAACACATAAGCAAATCAGTACAATAGGTACTTGTGCCGATCTGAGATCTTGTGAGGTATAATGACCATGATATCCGGCCTTCAATGTGCAATGACATGATTGTCAAACGAAGGTGTGAAACTAATATTATGGTGCGTGACAAGGCTGATCACACATTTCCGTCTATTTCTCAGTGTTTTCTTGACAGCAATGGTAGCGTTCCCGGCATGGAAATGCACCTTGCCGAAGAAGAAAGAACGTAAGAAATCTTTTAAATGCAGTCAGTGTCCATTGGTCAGATGAAAACCGGCGTCAGATTTACGAATAACGTACAGAAGTGTACCTTTATTTTCAAACAACTACGACTGTGAGTTAGTGCTACGGCACTGCATGAACACGAGGTCCTCCATCTCCCTCCTACGAGCCGCGTTGAATGTACTACTGGCCTTCTGAGCTGAATTGACCTGCGTTCAGCTCACTCACCGCAGCGTCATCAGATTCTGGACCATCTCCTTGCCCAGGTAGTGATCGATCCTGTAGATCTGCTCCTCGCTGAAGAGCGCCGCCAGGTGTCGGGACAGCTCGGCTGAGCTGTCGGCGTCCCGGCCGAACGGCTTCTCCACGATGATCCGGCTCCAGCCCCTGACGAAGGCGGCGGAGCCCGCCAGCGTGAGGAGCCAGGAATAGAGCATCAGGGAAGATCCCTCACTAAATGGCTGCAAACCAAGTCCGCGAACCAATCCATAGATTGAGCTGACTGTACCGGGCAATTTTCGATATTCCGAATGACGTAGCTGCATTTGGACTGCACTAAAACATTGATCAGACCAATCGACCTGGAACGGTAACAATACAGACAAATCCAATACGTTTAACTGAAATGGAACGTGATTTGGAGTGCTACATGTACATTTACAAACGCATATACATTGCATTGAAAGTCAACAGACTCATGCAAAATGGGTTACATGGCTGCCTACTGAACGCCTTTACATTTAGGCGTTTTCAATTAATGTTCGGTAAAAGATGCATGTCCTACCAAACGTAGCTACGAACCTGCCCCAGCCGCCACTGAAACCCTTTTTGCGCTGAAGAAAACTCCGAGTCCTTTTGCCGTCTTAAATCTCCCCATTGGTGCGGAGCGTGTCCGGTCGTATCCATGCCTACCCGCCACAGTGGGGGCTGCGCCTCACCGTTTGGCCATGCACTGGGCCTTGATGTTGGTGGTGACGGGCGCGAACACAGACGGCGGAAGCGCCAGGTAGAAGAGCCGGTTGGCTGAGCCGCCACTTTCCAGCTCGCCGATGGCCCGGTCGAGCGTCGCGAACGACGCTGGCGCGTCGTAAGCGCCAGCCACGTACCGGTTCACCCGCCAGAACTGCTCGTACCGCTCCCGGTCCTCCGGCCGCACCTGGCGGCCACGGGGCGAACCAATGCTGTGGCAATGCTGGCCGCCGGCGAGGAAAAATATCGGGCTGCGTATGAGCGGAACAGTGCTGAATATTCACTTCAAATCAATGAAATAGACAAAAATTAAATGCTGTACAAGAAACTGGCGCAACGAATGCTTCTCCGACGATTATCCCACTTTTTGCGGTGGGCGGATAGAACCCAAAGTTTGAAGGTTTGTTTTTTCTTACGCAGTGTTGCATAACGAGAAATCTGCATTATGATCAGCCAGCTCACCTTCATGTACTGATCACAGTTGGCTCTGACCTCCCTAACAGATAGCTTGGACCTGGCGTAGCCAACTATGCTGGTCTTCTCCGGCAGCAGGTTGTCACGGAATAACCACCAGATGGTCGGATAGATCTTCTTCTTGGCCAGATCTCCCTGAAATTGATTGGCTCGTTAGCCCTTCTTTATTTCCAAAGACACCGTCCGTCGAAAGTGCATACCGCCTGACCGTCTCAGTCATACGTAGTGGAACCACTCAATGTCAGAGGCAGCGTCAAAAACACTTGATTCGGACAAAGAAAAATGCAGACTAATGAATGAAAGGTATGTGATGTGACGACCTCGGCTCGATATCTTTGAAGGACGCCTCAGACCAGGCTGTGATCTCGATCTGCACCAGAGAGCAGCACGAGGCGGCCATGTCTCACCGACGCTCCGAGAATGACGAAGACGTGGGGGACGGTCCTGCTGAAGCTCTCCTCGCCGGCCAGGCTCTGGCGGAACAGAGCCAGTGTCGTCTCGGCGGCTGAAACGGTACAGCGCCAGCCCTTAGAGCTGATCCTGGTGGCCGGTTGTCTTATGAGTTTGTCTTTATGTTTATCCTGTTTATCAACTTGTCTTGAGGTTAACCGCTGCCGGCGCGCAGAGAAAGATGACAAGGAATACACTATTACGATTTTCAAGCTGAAATAGTTATTTTTTTGTTTCGCCATTGGCCACTGGTTAAACGAAGGTAGCAAGCAATGATTGGAACAAGGGTAGTGAGCGTATATTTTCTGCTTCCGACCCAGTCTCTGCAGACAAACTGTAGCCAGCAGCGTAATGTGGCATCATATGACAAGAAATGACAATGACGTCCATGCCCAGCAGCGTAATCAGAGATTGACGTATCACCGGCCGCGTCTTCGGTCACCACAATTTGCAATACCATGCACGCAACCGAAACATTCATTTATACTATGTCATTCAACCAATGCCAGGATAACTGTTGCTGCGAGGAATGCAGGCACGCCGGCCCTACACAACGGCCCTACACAATGGGGTAGTTCAAAAACGAGGGCTGTCTTCTTTCACCTTCGTAAATTGCCATGGCCTCACGTTTAAGCTTGATCTCAGGCTAGATTTACTGTCCTCGACCACAAAAAAAAACGGCGAAAGACTTCGACAGCCAGGGCAGCTGAGGAAATGACAAAATTCCAACCGGTGGTAGGTAACACTGGGGAATGATATCAGACATACGGGCCTCCTCGAAGCCATGTCCCCTTGAAGAAACCACGTGTGCGCTGCGAGCCCATCCCAGCCATTGGCATACCCTCCACCATACCTTAGCCATGCTCCCAGCCTGGCACGGCATGCATTACCTGAGGGCGCCTTTTGATGCGCCACAGCAATTGGAGCATACAGGTTCAAACTGGATTTCTAGGCTGCCTGGAAAGGAAGTAACAGTGTGCTGGGTCCTAGGATGGACTCAGATTGAGGTGGATGCGACTGCGCATAAATGGTGGGCAACAGGCAGTGGGGGCGGGCTGGATGGAGGATGCATCGGGGTCACGGAAAGAGGGGATCACGGAGCTAGTTGAAAAAATATGGGGTCTTCGTATTCCTATCACGCTGAACAAAAAAGAAAACAACAAACAAAACAAAAAAGCAAAACAATAATCTATGCTGCAGCCCAACTTTACAAAACTGTTGCACGCTTTAACGAATCGAAAGTACAAAAATTCCCGGCTCAGGCTTAATGACTTGCCGCCGTTTGAAAACATGAAAGGATTTGTGCTTCCACCAACACGACACAAACCAGCTATCGCCGATCCCAGCCGTTTCTTTTACCCTTTTCATACAGAAGCTCAACAGTTAGTTTATTTGGACGCACCAAAGGCGCGAAATTGTTAGTTTTGTGATACTCATGCTTCTGCCCCTATCTGAACCACCTGCGCATTTTGTTTTACTATCTGAACCCCCAGCCTGCATATTTTTTCATTTTCAGGCAAATACAGCCGCACATAAATTTGTAACGGAACATTGGCACGCACTGCCCCTTTGAGCCCCACTTGAATACGCTTTCCGCGCAGAATGTATTAAGGTTTTGTTTAGTACGTGATTAGCAGCAGCTCCGTTTGAAACGGCAGAATTAAGCACAACCTATTCAAAGATAATTTGATTATCGATGTTATCCCTTTATTTTTCTGGAGAGCCCATAGCAAGAGCTCTCTCTGACCGCGCTCGGATTTTACCGGCCGATCCAGGACCCCAGCATTTTGGCACACTCAGCAGACGGGAACCGCTTACCAGGGTCACGTATGATATTGAACCGCTTTTGAAAGCAGCTTAGGTGCCCCGTATGTGTCATGTCATGTCATTGAGGCTTTATGACGCACTCAGCTGCTGAGGCTATATGGCGTCGCCTGCCTCTCACCCTGGCCGGGAGGGCGGGCACCGCGAGGAATCGAAACCCGTACCTCTGGTTTCCCAGACGTGCAGTGGTTAACGCAGACGCGTTAACGCAGACGCGTTAACCACTACACTACCGGCACCCCTAGGTGCTCCGTAGCAACCAGGTAACCTTTGAGAGGGAACATAGGCCCTTTACAGCCAAAAGGACCACGCGTATACAGAGGGCCATGCCGACGTAAACGGCTTTGAGCTGAGAGAGGATACAAAAGGCTTTAACTCGCACGGAGCTTCTGAGACCTTATGCTTAATGGCGTCACCTACTTTTTACCCTTGCAGAAAGGGTTTATGCAGAGGAGAATCGAGCCCTGTACTTCCGGCTTCCCCAGCACGCATCTTAACCACCACACTAAAACGGCCAAAGAGGACCTGAATAGTTACGAGATTATTTTGTGTGTCGAAGGGACTTTCAAGTGGCAGACGAGCCCTAAATAGGCTTAAGTCTCTAAAGCGGCCCGAGCGCCCACGGTGACCAGTTGGGGCCCATGTATCCCTAGCAGGGGCTTCTGGATGGCCAAATGGATCCTAGTGAGTAGGCAGAAGATGGACTCTACTTATTCAGCACGAACATTTTTCGTCATGCTGCACGCAGAAAAACACCCCTGCGTACACCTACACCAAACCCCCGGTTTTTGCGCCTTACGGAGCCAAGGAAATATGGCGGCCCCAACCCCACCCCAACCCCAATCCCATTCCCTACAATATATCTCACCGTGAACTCAGTCGTGGCCAGGTGATTTTGACGTCTGTTTCAGTGGAGCCCCCAATAGCCAGAGCAGTGCTTAGGTGGCCAAAGCAACCCAGTGTAATTAGCTCAGGTCAGGCCAGTTACATCAGTCATTACCCGTTAAAACAGGTCCTTATGTGGGTAATTCAAACAGCTGTCACGCAACAGCTTCCACAAAGAGGACAACTGGATTGCAATTTTCTAATAGCTTCGTATCAGCCTGCTAGTTCTTTCTCAACGGCTTATGAACGCGCACCCGGGCGGCCGGCTGAATACCTTTCGCTTAGGTGGGGTATCGAGTTGACCCCCTAAGATCTAAAAAAAGATAGCTAGAGACACTAAACTTACAGAGTAGGTTGACCCGTACGTCAACTCACTTGTATCAAGATTCGAGATTCCTAGATTATGACCTTGGGGTTGAATAAGGCCATACAAATTTAATTCCAGAGTGGTGTCTCAAGTGTCCCTTGACAGCCTTATGCAACCGCCGCTTCGCGGCAGTTGTGTTAGGCCATTGTACTGACTTTTTGCGACCTGTTCTTAGCGAAAGGTCAATGAGATCAGTGACATTTTTACCTTTGTAAGGTCAACGTGGCCAAACATCTAACGAAATTGCTCCTATTTCGCCCTCGGAATGAGCGTCAGGGATTACGCTAGGCGGTATGTTCCTAAGACCAAAATTCTGGCCGGAGCCATCTTAGGTCAGTGATCTATTCTGACATTTGAATATTTGGTGGAACATGTATGTTACGGTTCCTGGCATAAATGACTTCAGAATGGGCACCAGAAACTACCAGAAACTATCCCATAAAACCAAGTTCACTACTGAAAAACGGTTTAGTTTTGGCATCGTTCTGACCTTTACACCTGACCCTAGATAAATAGAACTGGTTGCAATTCAAAGTTTATGTGGCTTATTACCTAAGAAATTATCTCAGGTATGTATGGCTTTGACTAACACTTCGTTGTTGCATCATATTGAACGATTCCCTAAAAATGCCCTTCGCTGACAGCCGTGGCCTGGCTTTGACCTGCCATACGTCTGCGACCTTGCAAGGTTCATTTTTTAACATCGAAATATTCTCTATTTAATCATCTACAGTCACGCAAAGTTTGGCGCGGCTGCATGGCGCCGCCAAGAAATTAGGCTGGAAAAACCTTTGGCAAGTCAATTTGACGCCTCACCCGAGCGCGTGACCTCATATCGGAAGCCGACGCGATGCCCCCCCCCCTGCCCCCCAAAGGTTTCTGAGGATATAATTTCAGCAATTTGTGCTGTCGCCCAATGTTTGATGGCCACTGGGGCATTATTTGCGTGTGTTTTGAAACCAAAAACGTGTTTCTAGCATTTCTAGTTTGTGATAAGCTATGGGGTTTAGCACTGCACGCGATCCACGACCGGCGCAGGCAACCGCCGATTCTGCGAACCCCGCGCGGGGGTCTGACACTATTAACCGATTCGTTTTCGGTTAAGTCTTTTTAGTCGTTCGAAGTGCAATGTGTTGGCTGCCGGAGTCTGTCGTTTTCAGCCGCTCGGTCAGTGCAAAGGAGCGCCCCTGCGAAGGGGGTGGGACCTGAGTGGTTGCCCCACCCGAAGCGCGGATAAGCGCGAGCGGTCCGGCCCGTTGGTGACGGCAAATGAATGAGCACATATTCTTAGAATATGGAGAAGGTCGGCGACTGCGATCATATGCACAACCGGGATTTCACTTTTTCCGCCGTGTTCGTAGGTTTAACATGTGTTATGAACAACATTTTCAGCCTTATCGCATCGAGAGATTCAATTTAATTTGCATCATGACAAAAATGTCACAATGCCGTAGACATTCAGTTTTTACCACGCATTTCAATATTTAAGGTTTTAATTAGCCATTTATGTATGCATCAAGCACGCTTACTGCAAAACGAGTGCCAAAAATGAGTGGTGACAACGCGTACCTGCTTAGCTTGGAACATTTACCTGTGTGCGAAAACCAGAATGATTCTAGTTGGTGCACTCATAATTTTCTGCATACAATGCCGCATGGTGCAAGAGTTTTTTGCACCGTGCATGATTTGTGAGTGAATGACATACTACGGACATGCTCTGCTGCACGCGAGTGTGAAAGCGGTTTTAAATGACGCCTGAGTTAAATCGCATCTGTGGGTTAAAGCCACCTAGAGAAGGGTTGTACATAATCACGTCATAAGCGGCACGAGCGTGAGGAAAATGATTATCATCTATTGTTCGCCCCGATTTAACTTAGTCGGCGCCCCTCCCCATCCTGTTGCCAGGGAGATCAGCAACGACTGTGGATGATAACACCATGAAATAATTATGTGAAGACCCCAAGTGCTTATGCAAGGAGGCTTCTAACAATCATCCTTCCGAATGGTGCACGAAAAAGACGGCGTTTTTAATTCTTTAAGTGTCTGGATGACACGTGAATACGACATTAACGCTATACCACAAATTAAAGTCATTCCAGTCGTTAAGGAGCCTTCCACGTTGCCCTTCATTTCTTTGCGTTGCTCCTAGGGCCCTCCACTGTTGCTGAGCCCTTCCTGCTAGCGTGCTGGGAAGCTCTTGTCAATCAGGGGCCTTCCACGGATTCTGTCCATCCGCCAGAAAGGCTTTGCGGGCTATAGCCGGCGCCCCACATTTTAACATTCCGGGGTATTCTCGGTTGCTCAGGAGCCGTTTACGCTGGTCTCGGTTAATCTACCGACACGCTTACGATATGCTCACGGGCCTTCTCCATTGGCCTTAGGGGCCTGCAATTCTCTATCACTTGCTTAGGGCTCTACGCTCTTGTCCGGGGCCCATCGAGCAACGTGCTTGAGCACGATGGACTGTTTGAAGGCCCTGTTTACTGGGTACTTTAATGTAGTGCTTCACGCTCTTCCCGGAGGCTATCTGATAGCCTGCTCGGGTACACTCGATCTTTCGGGGGCCCTCCAGGCTGGATATTGGGTACTTTTCATTTGAATGGTGGGGGGGGGGGGGGGGGCTACGCTCTTGTCGACTTGTCGAGGGCTTATCTGATGACCTGCTCAGGCACATTCTATCGTTCGGGGCCCTCTATATCTGATCTTGGGCACTTCCTATTTTTCAATGCAGGACCTTACGCTTTGACGGAGCCCTATGAGTTAACCTGCTCTGGTGCACTTGATCATTCAAGAACCCTCTAAGTTGTGTCGTGGGTATTCCATATTTGAACGAAAGGCTCTACGCTCTTGTTAAGAGCCCTATTTCTTAACCTGATCGGGCGCACTCGATTACTCGGGTGCCCTCCACATTGTGTCTTGGGTAATTCCTATTTGAATGGAGGGCCCTAAGTACTTGTCGGTGGTCCATCTGTTCGCCTCCTTGGCCACAATGGATTGCTTAGGGGCCCTATATATTGGGTGCTGATATTTGAATTAAGAGTTATACACTCCTATTGGAGGCCATCTGATAATTTGGTCGGTTACACTCCATCTTTCGGGGGCCCTCTGCACCGGGTTTTGGGTACTTCAAATTTGAATGGAGGGCCGTGCACTCTTGTCGGACTCCTTCTGATAAGCTGATCGGGCACATGCCATCGCTCAGGGGACATTTACTTTGGGTCTTGAGTGTTTCTTATTTAAATGGGGGGGGGAGGGGGGGCGGGGCATTCGCTCTTGTCGAGAGCCCGATATGTTAACACGCGCTGGGGCGGGGGTCAAATTAAACCCGGAAGGTTTCTCCAGAATGACATTTAAACGGCGTGGCTACACCGCGTCAAACTTTGCACAGCTATAGATGATTGAGTGGAGGATTGTTTAATGGAAACGATCCTTGGAGTGGAATGGTTTATGGAAGCAATTAAAGGTACCTTAAAAGGTCGCTGGCCCAATAGCAAGCCAAAGTCAGGCTATGGCTGTCAGAGAAATGCACTTCTAGGGAATCATTCAAAGTGATGCAATAACGGAGTGTTAGACGAATCCATACATACCTGAAGTGGTTTCCTAGGTAATAAACCAACTGGACCTACTTTTTACTCGAGAGCTTGGTTTAAAGGTTTTTGTGGTTATTTCGAATCTACTGATGACAGGGCTCGCCACAAAATATTCTACGGCTTTTTTAAATGTCAGAGTAGGTCACTGAACTCAAATGGCCCAGGTAAACACTTTTTTCAGAAATATAGCGCCTAGCGTAATTCTTGACTGTCCTTAGTCCGTAGTAGCGCGCTAGCGTAGCCGCACATAGTCTTTCACCCTTTTAATCCCTATAACGTAATCCCTAGAAACGGTAGAACAGTTTATAAGGACAAAAATCAACAACCAAAAGCTTAAGGCCCATCTTGCTCAGATCAGGGTATCATGTTATCTATGATCAATTCGGTTGTGATGGAATCAGATGCATGACTTAACAATTTATTTGCGAGATGCGTTACTAGCGGATGGTGCAATTGATGGACTTGTATAAATGCCTTCTAGATTAAGTTATAACACAAATGTTGCAAACTTACTGGTAAAGCATATGAAGTGTTTGACATAAGATTGACCCTTTTAATTTTTTTAACAGGCATAATGTTCTGTGACTTATTCTGCTGGCTACCGTCACTCGACTACCCGGCCAATTTTTGACGAGAGTGAGTCATCAGGCTTTTCGCATCAAGGTCCGCTCAAATGATGATCAAGATTCACACCACCAGATAAACTTAACACACTGCTCTAAATTACGCGTCTACACCACCTTCTCCCTTCTGAGCACGTCACTAGCACAACGCTGAAATTTGTCTGCCTAAAGCCAACTCACATGCTGACATTGATTCAAACCATAGAACAGCAAAATCGCACCTGTAAGTCTCAAGATTTTCTGGGGTGAACTCAATCTACACACATGATTTGCACGAATTATATCGCATGCAAAGCGCTTTTACACACTTGTGTCCAAATGTAACGACGACGACGACAGTGATAACAACGAAGACTAAGTGATCAACGCCACTTCGTCTTTATTTTCGTCGCAACACGAAATGCATGGGTTGGAAAAAGGAAGGAAACGAGCACGGAATAAGCCAGCCATCTTTTCTGAGAAATTGCATACTTTGGAGATACCGATACGTGACAGACGTCCTTCGTCCATCCAAAATGTTTACTTATTATTTTTGTTTTTACTGCTATTTTTCACCGTTTTTCTTAAGTTTTGCCGTAAATCGCATGAGTTCATCTGATTTGGAGTGAAAGATGCCTGTCGCACTGCCGCAAGTACACTCATTTCCACACGTGCAAGAAACCCACACGGTTTACCGCCAGACTTGAGCAAAAGCAAGTTGCATATGTACATTTCGGTAACCCAGCCAAAGAGAACCGTACATCCTGTACGCTATAAGATGTCTCCCATGAGGTGCACCATCATAATAGTATTGTCGCGAGGGGGACACTACAATGCACCCAGTTGCTGAAGCTTTATGAAATCGCCAGCTTCTTACTCTGGCAGAAAGGAAGGGCGCCGCGGGGAGAAGAGCCTAGTACCTCTGGTTTCTCAAACACGCAGCGTAGCCACTTCACTCTCGGATCCCAGTATGCTGTCGCCCAGGTAGTAAGCACTGCATACTCGTATACAGATGCTATTGTAACCATGAAGTGCTATCCTCTACAAATCATACGCTTCTTTAAAGGAAATTTAAATCACTGAAAACGAACAGGCGATACAGCTTAGTGTAGGTGCGTTTGTGCAGTGTGAAAACGTGCAGTGCTGAGCAGCGAACACCAAATCAAAGGCGTGCCGAAACTACTTGGGCGAAAACAGACGCACCCTTGCTGGCGACGAAGAGGTTGCGTGGTGCACGTCGACGACTGGTGTCCGGCTCCGAATAAGAGATGACACTGTCTCGTGAAAAAGGTGTGTGGAAACGTAAGCCCGGCTGCCTGTGTCAGGAGCCGACTGACCGTTGGTTCGGCTGGGAGCGGTGTTCTCACACTCCACCTCTCGCATCAACATCCTCCGGAAGATCTCCTCATCTGTGTGCCGAAGACATGGGTTGACGGCGCTCGAGAACAAAAAAAAAACGCGTATGCCTGAGTGCGAGTTACTATACTATTTAGATTTTAAACTGCATATGCATTCGCCGAAGTATGTTTTCACTTTAGGAAAAACAGCCAGCGCCGTTTTTGCGGCGTGTTGATATATCCCTCAAATGAAAATGGCACCATGTGTGGAGCATATCTTCATGCATTGCACATGCACCAAATTTGTTGATGCTGTCATCACAGTAACAGCAATCCACCACACAGGCCTGGTGGTTGTCGGGTACCTCTGACGCTCCCCCAAGCAGTGATCAGAGCATGCCTTGCTCTCCCTCACTCTCTCTGAGGGTGGATACCATGGGTCTCTGAATGTGGAGACCATAGGACAGCAGTTGGTATGGGTCGGGTTCAGCTATGCATATCGATACCCTGTGAAAATGGTGGGTTTAAGCTGTGTTTGGTATTGCTTTCCGTGTGTAATTCCTTGCCGAGTTATTATTAAGCGTGCCGCTTTCTCTGGAGAATCTAGTTATTGATCAACTGGTGTCACTCGTCCGTCCCGATAGCTCGGTTAGTTAGAGCTCCTGCCTTCCCATTCCGATCCAGCCATTCGTTGCAGAATGGGTTCGAGACGCTTTAGGCGCTTGTTATTTGCACCTGTCTGGAATGGCCTGTGACAGGTGGTACGACCGCACTTAAAGGTCAGGTGACGTCAGAGGGACAGACCATAGCCAGTCTCGATGCACTGAAGCTTTCACCGGGAAACACTACCGTTGATCCGGAGTTTAACTATTTGGTGGTGGGTTCAGGGCTCTTGTAATCAACCCTGCTTGGCGCGCGCAATCATAAGAAAGGTGAAATGAATACACAAATTGAGCTCTATCTGTACACAGTTCATTCGTGTGCTCTGTCCCTGTCAATGCGTAATTATCGTGCATCTTGAGGTAGGATTTACGAAACATAACAATGTGTTGAGTAATATAGAGACGCCTTGCTCCACTTGCACATGCAATTGCTCTTCAGTTTATCGGATCACTGTGCGGTGTTCATGGATCTTTGGATGGAGCAACGCAACATGAGATAGGTAAGATAGGGGCCGTAGTTTTGTATCCAGTTAGGGGCTGCAGGCTCCCAACTTGGACAAAAAGTGGACTAATTTTGGGCATCTCGTTTTTGGCGCATGTTGCCAGTGGGTTTCGCGATGTTTCTCTATTTCTACTCTCCACCTATTTCTCTTCCATATAACCTACCCGCCAATTATTAATATTCTGCATAACTATGACGAAGGTGGAGTCCCTGGTAATAATGAGTTTGACGCGGAGGCGATATTTCTTGCTGGTAGCAAGCACATAGCTGCATGCTTGTTGCCACTGTTAACTTGACACCCAGCCTATAAGACAATCCATTGAGCCAGTGTTGTCGGCGTTTGGGCGAGCGATCCGCCGTCACAGCAGGACGGAAGCCGGAGTGTAACCGGAGCGCTGGCCGAGGCCGTTCCAATAGCACATGGATATCAAGATATCCTCGTTTGTCCACACTTCCACATAGCTATTGTGTCCTTTTGATATGATTCAATAGTCCTAGTTCCGACCCACTCTGCGAATAAATAACTCCGTCCCGGTGGCTCAGTTGGTTAGAGGGCCTGCCTTCCGATCCACCCACCCGTGGCAGGGTGGGTTCGAGTCGCTTTAGGGCGTTCGCTATTTGCCCTTGATAGCCATGGCCTGCGGCCGGTGGCAGCGGTCGCGCTAAAGGTCAGTTGACGTCAGAGGGCAGGAGCGACCGTGGTGAGCATTGTGGCACGTTAAGCTTTCACCACTAAATTCTGCCGTTGCCTGGAATTGCGCGATCGGATGGTGGTGGTCAGGGCTCACACAACAAGCACAGCTTAGCGTGAGCGCTGATCCCAGAAATCCATACATTCAAAGGATTTGAATCAAATGTATTTTTTTAAAAATAGCTAACAGGCCTGGTTAGTTATGTTTATTTTGGAAAAATTGTGGGTTGGTTGCGGGTGTGGGTAGTTGCTTGAAGAAACGTCTAGTAAAGCATTGAAGAAGTTCGCAAAATTTGGCAAAGTGCTAAATTTTTCTGGTATAATTCAGGACTAAATCTTTAGAAAATGATATAAGTAAAAGTCAGCGAGCGGGGATGGCCAAGTTGGAACAGGTAACCACTGTACATGGCAAAAGTACCGCCTGGGTAATGGAACCGTGCCGTGGGGAGGCTATTACCGGCAAAGGCACGTTCTATGGGAGCCCAGACACTATTGTTGGTAAGTCGTTAAGGATGACCATGCAGACGATCATTTGGTGTTTCGATTAACTACGTGGGTCGAAAATCGATGCAGCAGCAAATAGGTACAATGCTGACAATGAATCAGGAGCCGTTCACCACTGCTCCCAAACCAACACACATGGAATGTGCAAAAAGGCATGTAGCGAGAGCGCCACCGAGAGCGTTGCTCGCCGCCTGCTGGGGCGACCCCCGAGCGGCGAGCTCCGACCTTTCCCGGCACGGACAGGGCTGCAACCATTGCCAGGTGACCCTGAAGCCGAGTACTGCTGGAGAGCGGGGCCCCCCTTCCCTGCCCGGTCACGTCCGCCCCTGCCGAGTCCCTCCCGCCCCTGCCCGGTCCCGCCCGCCCCTGCCGAGTCCCGCTGCCTCTGCCCGGTCCCTCCCGCTTGGCTCGGCCTGATGTCGTTTTCCTACAGAGCGGCGGGGCGCTGCCCGGGGCTGCCAGGCGGGCGGGACTCCGCAGGATGTCTGCTGACGGGTGACGGCTGATGACGAGACTGGGACGGCAGAATGACGACAGGACTGGGACGGCAGTCTGACGACAGGACTGGGACAGCAGTCCAATGACGAGACTGGGACAGCAGTCCGACGACAGGACTGGAACGGCAGTCTGACGACAGGACTGGGACGGCAGTCCAATGACGAAGACTGGGACAGCAGTCTGACGACAGGACTGGGACGGCAGGTCCAATGACGAGACTGGGACGGCAGTCTGACGACAGGACTGGGACGGCAGTCTGACGACGCCTGACGGGCACGGCTGCGGAGGCAGGTCACACGGGCGGCGGCCGTCGCCGTCCTGCACGGTCCAGGCCCGGCGCCCAGCGTTGCCAGACGTCAGCGGGTTCAGCATTGACAGGTGGAGCTGATCAGCCTGCTACCGTGGTATATCCGCGGCCGGTTGTGGTCTAAATGGTTAGCGATATGCGAGTTCCGCTCGCTGGATTCGAACTTGGCTCCTATGACATCGCCCCTCACGATGCATTATTCCGTTTCATTTCGCCTACCTTGATTGCAGTCGCATGCCGACGCCAGCTCCAAACACCACTGGCGGTGTACCGAAGCTCCGGCACCATCGGCGCAGGGCACAGACCCACTGCCGCTGGGAGTTGTCATGATTTGCTCCGCTTCGAGCAGCCAACAGGCGGCTGCGTGGTGCTGCAGTATTCGCGTCTCTCACGGACCAACGGGACACGGAGGGTGTGGTCCCCTGAGCACTGACGGGGTCCTACCGTCACCGGCGCCGCCGACGCCGGCAGACCGGTGGTGATCACCAAAATAGCCCGGCAAACAGCTGACTGAGGACCCGGGAACGGCCGGCGCTGGCCTTGCGACGTGCCCCGAGTGCAATGGATTATTGATCCAGCCGCCTTTCATGGCTGCTTCTGATCGATCCCGAAATAACGCGGTTGCATTTTTGCGGTGGTCGCCACGGCCGTATGGTCCTTTTTCAATGGAATGGCTGCATAGGTCAGGACTCAGCTGCGACTGGTGCGCTCCCGGAGGCTGACAGTTACGGCCCTTTCCATGGGCTATTCCCCACAGGACAATGCTGATCATTACTTTGCCAGCTGTCACCGTGGAAGTTACATTGCTCACCTCGGGTGGGATCGCACTCACAGACTTTTCTCCTGCGGTATGGGTTCTTTGCTGACCAGGCCGCCCCAGACCCGGCTGAATAATTACTTGCCACAAAGAGCGACTCGACGGACCACAAGCGTAGACCCACGATCAATGAGCGTCGCGCTGTACATAATGGGGGAGGGGGGGGGGGGGGCGGTGACCTTGACGCGCAGTGACGCAGACTGCTCGTGGAGCTAGGTCTCCTGGGTCCTGCTGCTGACCGTTTGTTGTTTCAAACAGGCCCAAGGTCGGGTGCACGGTAATTAAAACAATTTCGTAATTTAAGCGTAACACCGTTTTAGATGGTGCTAGCTTTATGTTCGTATGCAAGTCCACTAGCAAATTTTGCGAAATTATCCAAGGTGCGCAAGCTTAAAATTGAATCAAAAATCGAAATTTTCAACACTTTTTTACCACCATTCCTGTTACAAGGCAATAGTGCACTTGCTGCGGTATGAGCCGCGCAGTTTTATATGCAGTTGTGAAAGTCAACACATCTGCTGAAGCCTGCGCGACCTTACCGACAGGGTGTAGAGGGAGCCAGCCCATACAGACGTGGTCAAACATCCTCAGGTGCATGATTTTTGTCTGTTCAAATGAAGTGTATCAGTAGGATTTACTGTATATTAATTATGTTATGTGCAAAATATGTTTTCCTGGTCTCTGCTTTAACGGCAGCGCACGCTATGCAAGACCTGCGGGTTTGTTAATAAATTTTTGTAGCTGGGAAGGCTTTCAGTACGCAGTAGATGACTCAGAACTCCTGGGCCCTTTACGTCTCAGAAAAAGATCCAGATCTGCGATGCACCTAGAGAACTACCAAGTCACGACTTAATGTATTACATCATATTCATTATTAATTGTGGTACACAAAGTTTTATTAGAATTTCGTACTTGATGTTACAAACAGTACGAAAATCACGCACGAACAAGTACGGCTGCTGCCACATTGCATGATGCAATATTTTGGGCCTACGCTAGGTGTGCCGGGTGCACAAGTGGGCTTTGAGTCATGGGACACATCTAACAGTATTATAAGGCATGTTCTTTATTGTTTGTTGTGTTTGCAAACTTAATTCGTGTGCCCTGTGCTGTTTACCGGTCACTGGGCACTCGAGAGTGGTCCGAAATGGTCGTGCTGGACTTAGCAAAAAACGAAAACGAAAAAGGGCGGCAAAGAAGACCCCAGGTTAACAGAGGGGTTCATAAACAGGGCTTATAAACAGATCAAAGTAATTCCCATGCCTAAAGGAAATGCCACAAATCTAACGACACGTGGTAAATTGGCTCCGGTAATAACAGTATTTACCGTAGAGCCTTATCGATTGGGTGCGCCGCCAGAGCCCCATCCGGGGGCTCATCAGAACAATAGCGAATAAGCGCGTAGCTTTGAGAGCGTCTGAGTGCTTCAGCCATGATTGGCAAACATTTTGATACATAGAATGACTCCATAGCACGGCAGAAGCAAAGTGCGTCAAAACGCGCATCGTCGTAATCATGTCAATGTTCGCACCAGGCGGCAATCTTTGCTAGATTGCGGACAGCAGGCCTACACTTCCAATATGGGGCAATTTAAACTTACAGTGGGCTATCTTTTCCCAGAACTGCTGCAACAGTCGGATGGGCTTTTCCGGAGTGTCATTCATTGCTGCTCTTTTCGTGAGCCACCGGGTCTTTTTCTTCGATTTGCACCTGAGCGTTCGTCTGCCGCCCGGAAGCCTCTGGCTGACCGGTCAGCGAGTCCCACGGCCCACTCCCGTCCTCCGTTCGATTGGGTGGTTCTTCACTGTTCGTTCTTTCTCGCGCTCTCCGTTATGAGCGTGCTTTGCTCTGGGTCACGGCCACCGGCGCGCCACCTACGGCTGTCGGCTGCCACTGCACAAGTTCGCGTCCGTCTCTTGCGCTGCCATCGTCTCGCCGGCTGCACTAGCACCACGAGCCCTGCGACTGGGCGCGTCCTACCGGCCGTGCAGAGGTCGGCACAGCCGTGACGTTCACAAGCCGCTGCTCCCCATGAGCTGAGACCGATTGGAAGTGGCCGAGGTCGGGCGAGTTGCGGGGGCGGGCCTCCCTAGCGGGGAGGCCAACCGCCATCTGATCTGCCCCATTGACTCCGTTCAAGGGAAGGTGGCAAGGACACGCTACTCCGGCGAAGTAGCGAGTGTCGCGTGACAGGCCCCGATAGAGAGCCAAGCCGCCCTGTTGCCCGAGGACGCCAGTGGCGTGACGGCGAGCTGCAGTGTCAGGAGCCTGCAGAGCTCACGCGGCCAGACTGGCGGGCAGCAGGCCCGTATGCGGACGGTTGGGGTAGTACCCTCGATACCAGCCGCAAACATGTCCGTCACATGGTGTTCACCGTCAGTAGATATAGGCGCCTTTCCCTGCACTGGCAAAATTTACAAACCCTGCTGCAAGAAACAGGCCAGCTCTGTGAATGTTGCCTTGTTACGCCGCATAAAGCACCCGGGAATCGCAATGATGTCTGGGCATTTTTACTTCCCAAACGCTACGTTCCCGGCATGATCCGGGTGGGCCGGTAGCCTACACACCAAGCTCGCCAGTGCTCGGGCGGGGCAGCCCTGACCTCAGCGCGGCGCCCTTGGCGAGCACGCCGCGACGCCCGGTCCATCTCAGCAGGACCCGTCCAGCGGCGTGAATCGGGGCGCGTTCCACCGCATGGCCGGCGCTAATCGCCTGTCGCGAGAGCGTGACCGCCTCACGCAGCCATGCGTGGCCACGCGCCGCCCTCGCCTGCCACGCGGCCGGTCTGCGCGCCCAGCACGCTCGGCTCGGCTCCGCTGGCCGGGTCGGGAGCGGCCGCTGCGTCAGCGCCAGCGGCCACGGTTACTGCGGGGTATAGCGCATCGTACAACTGCCGTCAATGGATGGTTGCTTTCGTCGCGGCTGATTCTGGTACCAGTACGTTCAGCGGTTCAGCTGGCTCATTCAGCGGAGCGAAACAGGCGTTTGTCGAAAACCCTGAGTACGGTACGTGAGTGGCGTGTGTGTACTCATGCCCGCTTACGTTCGATGAATCCGTCTACTTGAAATGCGTTGTAAAATGTCCTCACCTTTATCACGGCGGAAAACCGTTAAAGGGTGTGGTCCTCATTTATATGGAGTTTAGAACTAAACTAACCACCTGAAGGTCTTTTAAAGCTGCTCACGGCATTCCTTTTTTAAGATTTAAAGCCCTCTGGTTCCGGAGCTTAAAGGCTGCAAAGATGTGAAGGACTAATTTGGGAGAGTATTTGAAGGTCATACTGGCATTCATGATGCAATAATAACGCCATTTAAATTGCGCCATGTAATTAGTCATGCTGTGATCAAGGCCAAGAAAGATATAGTGGACCAGCCTTTCATATCTGACGTTCCTGAGCACGATTTCCAGAAATAGCGACCGTCAGTTGGCTCTCAATAAATACTGTGCAATGTGCGATAACGTGATCAAACAATGATGTGTCTAGGAGCACATTAACTTAACATTTCCGAAAGGTAAGAATTTGTCAGAAATTTTCCCTTTCCAAGTCCGGAAGTTTTCCTGCAAGTTTCCAATGTTCTCGACAGGCTTCCTCTTTCGGCTGGCTCACTTAGCCGAGTGCTTTGATTTAGTGTCAATGTCATTCATGTATTTCTTTTGCAGAAGAGTTCTGTATCAGCTTTTACAGTCAGCCCATTGTTTTTGTTTATATATATATATATATATATATATATATATATATATATATACGCACAGCACGGCTCCGCAATTTCCTCGGAAGCATCTAGACTGCACTAAGGATGGAGCAACCATGCTCACGTGGATGTCCTAAAGTGTTACGCCTGTAGCGTTATAAACATCATAGCAATGTCACACTTCCAACAGCGTGCGTGGGTCTTCCTCACCTCTGCGGCGCTGGGCTGACATGGCGGCGTGCTGCCGGGACGAGCCAGCCGCAGCTGGACCGGCCGCTTGGCGGTGATCACCAGTGGCCGTCACACGCCTCCTGCAAACGGAAACGCGAGCTGACATGACCCTGCACGTAGTGGAAGCTGGACCTTGAACACGTCGTGCTCGGCTCCCGGCGCTGGGGTTCAACTAGCTGACTAGTGCCTACGGGGCAATTGATGACCCAATTGGAAGCCAAGAAATAGTTGTGATGCAACACATTCGTGTGCACCAGAAGCCACGTTTTAGCAAATAGCAGACTCAATTTGAACACAAGTGGTTTTAGCGCACAGGTGGTTTGTTAATCGCCGCACCTCCATGTGTTGCATAGCAACACATGCGTGTTAACATGTGAACGCTTGAACGCATGAGCGCGTGAATGCCAACGCTTTACTGTTCGCGTTGACGGGTATACTCACGTTTAATGACGCAGACTTGCACGCCGCATATTCAACATCACCGCCAGCATCAGCTGACGATCTCCCGATGGCAAGTCCGACATCCCGCGGTGGCTGGTCATCCGCTCAGGTGCATGCCCTCAGGGGCCACCCGTCCCCTGGCGGCAGGCGCTGGTCTCACTCCAAGCGTCTGGAGTAGGCGTCCGGCCGCTGCGTCTTGCAGTGTTGTGGCAAAGCACTGGTCGGAGAGGGGAGGCCGACCACTGCTGGCTGCGGTCGTCGGTGGCCCCCGGGGCAGTGGTGACTTTGCGGTGCTCACCAGTCGACTGCTGGTGACCGGTCGTCGGTGGCCCTTGGGACAGTGGTGACCCCGCGGTGCTCGCCAGTCGACTGCTGGTGACCGGTCGTCGGTGGCCCCCGGGACAGCGGTGAATCTGCAGTGCTCGCCAGTCAACTGCTGCTGACCGGTCGTCGGTGGCCCCGGGACAGCGGTGACTTTACGGTGCTCACCAGTCGACTGCTGCTGACCGGTCGTCGGTGGCCCCGGAACAGTGGTGACTTTGCGGTGCTCACCAGTCGACTGCTGGTGACCGGTCGTCGGTGGCCCCCGGAACAGTGGTGACTTCGCGGTGCTCACCAGTCAACTGCTGCTGACCGGTCGTCGGTGGCCCCGGGACAGTGGTGACTTTACGGTGCTCACCAGTCGACTGCTGCTGACCGGTCGTCGGTGGCCCCGGAACAGTGGTGACTTTGCGGTGCTCACCAGTCGACTGCTGCTGACCGGTCGTCGGTGGCCCCCGGAACAGTGGTGACTTCGCGGTGCTCACCAGTCAACTGCCGCTGACCGGTCGTCGGTGGCCCCGGGACAGTGGTGACTTTACGGTGCTCACCAGTCGACTGCTGCTGACCGGTCGTCGGTGGCCCCGGAACAGTGGTGACTTTGCGGTGCTCACCAGTCAACTGCTGGCGACCGGTCGTCGGTGGCCCCGGAACAGTGGTGACCCCGCGGTGCTCACCAGTCAACTGCTGCTGACCGGTCGTCGGTGTCCCCCGGGACAGTGGTGACCCCGCGGTGCTCACCAGTCAACTGCTGGTGACCGTTCGTCGGTGGCCCCGGAACAGTGGTGACCCCGCGGTGCTCACCAGTCAACTGCTGGCGACCGGTCGTCGGTGTCCCCCGGGACAGTGGTGACCCCGCGGCGCTCACCAGTCAACTGCTGGCGACCGGTCGTCGGTGTCCCCCGGGACAGTGGTGACCCCGCGGTGCTCACCAGTCAACTGCTGGTGACCGTTCGTCGGTGGCCCCCGGTAGAGTGGTGACTCGGCGGTGCTCACCAGTCAACTGCTGGCGACCGGTCGTCGGTGGCCCTCGGGGACCGTGCACGGCCGCTGCGCGCCGCGGGGCGCAGCGATCGATGCTTGTCTTCGGCGAACCGCGATGAATGGAGTGAAAGGCCCACTGTGAGCCGGATCGACGCCGGCCGGCACCGCTCGGACCTCGGCATCGACCAAGCCCGGCGACTGAGGTCACACAAAACAATAAACAATGGCCAGTGCTGTGGTCTGGTTTTTCGAACATTGCGGTTGGTCCGTAAACGGAAAATTGGTTATCGATCGAATGTGTGCTGAGTCGTAGTGCATGAGTCTTCAGAGAGCATCGGTTGGCCCGATGCTTCTCCGGTGTTTTTTGTAAATTGATTTGGTACATTGGATGCATGGTTTTGAAGGTTTTTGGTGGTTGAGTTTTAGGCATTTGTGACTGCATCTTCAGCCAAATTTGAAGATCCTTCCTAAAGCTTACGTCAAAGGTCACCTCCCTACCCCCCGTACAGGTGCAACCGAATCTGCTGTTCACCTTCAAACTCACCCTCGGTCGGGTGGCACGCTTTTGCGTCATGTCGAACAGCACCTAGGTGGGTTATGCGCAGCTACTAGGCCCACCTCCGTTCAAGCCCAGGCACGAACACTGACGCGCATTCTTTCCATCTCTTCCGTCGGAACTATGATGCCTGGCTTCCGTAACGCGATTCGATACTTTCTTTAAAGCGCCTTGCCACCTGCCAGTCGCATCAGAAGGTTCTGGAATTGCAAGGCGATGCCCTATTCCTGATTGGTTCAGTCGACCGGCCATGCTACGATGGCGAAGTATTACTCTTCATTGGTAACTAACGCATAATTTCTGCACCCTGTGGCCATGAATCATTTCCGACACGCACAGTACATATGCCATACCATTGGTGACCATGTATGCTCTAACTCTCTCGCTGGGCTCGAAGAAGTAGGACCACTCTTGGCTGTGTCGATGGACACTGTGGTCTGAGTGTTGGTTGGTGCATGTAGGCGACAAGAAAATAGAAACTGTGACAAGAAAATAGGCAACATCTTTCTTTAGCGCATTTGAGAAAAAGAGTGGCATGAGCGAGGTCTTCACTAGTATAGCTATCATGCGAGCAGCCAGAAATCTGCTACAAAAGGTCACGAGTTGTTAACTCTTTATTGCGCTGTTTCCATGGCATTTCGCGTGCAGGCGCGCGATTCTATATGCTCGTCACGGACAACTTGTGTTGAGAAGACTTTTTAAGACGCGGTCAGGTGAGGGTCAACTTAACCGCTTAACAGGGAGGCTTTTCATAAGCATTTTTAGGTGGTTATTAAAATAAAATACACCTGGTAAGGTCGTTTTCGTATTAAATGTCAGAGCATGGCCCAGACCTCAGCGATAGGATTTCTCGTAAATCCTTCGATCTGATGCGATAACGGGATTGGAAATGAAACTCTAAGTTTTGAGATAATTTCCTAGACAATGAGACAATTAAATTTAGGGTTACAACTACTTCCACTGGTCGGAGGTCAATATGAAGACCAAGTCAAGATCAAAACCAAGCCGCTTAATTACTGGACACATTGCTTTATGGGATTAAATGCTTGTACGTTGATCGACGCTCATTTGAATTCTTTGATCACAGTGATGTCAACAGACATCTTACTAAGACTTAAGAAAGGTCAGGTTAGGTCACTGACCTAAGCTGACCCGGATGCACCTTGTGCTTTCAGGATTACAACGTCTAGCATAGTTCTTCACGCTTATTTTAAATTCAGTTATCAAAAAGTATCACAGGTTTTGATCACGTTTATCATCTGCAGGTCAAATAAGGTTACTGACCTGATACAAGCATCAGTGAACTTTGGCTTAGAAAAGGTATCTAGATTAGCGGCGCTTGCGCGAGAAGGTCGGAGGACACTTGGACACCAATATGGAGTTTTAACTCATGACCTTTGTATGAGTATGACCTTTGTATGACCTTTTGAAACCCAACGGTCAAGTACTAGGAATCTCAAACGTGATGGAAATCAATTACATCAAAGCCAGTCTTTACCGTGAATTTTGGTGTGTATAACTCTCTTAGTTTTTGAGATATCAGCGGGTTAGATTGAACCCCCACCTGAGCTCCACATTAAACGTGCCACCCGCTCTCGTGTTACAGGGCATGCGTTGGCTTATTTTATCTGAGCAAACGGTTATGCTGGTTCATAAACAGACAGCAGAACAGTCACACGACCAGTTCACAGTCAGACATGCGGGGAACAGCCGGTCCAAGGCAGTGCCTACCGACGGCGATCGGGAGCAGGGCGCGGACGAGGAATAACCGAAAGAAGGTCATTCATTCTGTGACTTGTTTTTTACAGTAGAAAACCCAGTTTTGTAGCCTTTGTTCTTTGCATTTAGTATCTTCAGCTTCCGGACTGATGCCTGTCTTAACTGCTGCGTCACAACTTTATTTCGTAAACACAGAGTGTGACAGGTCAGAGGGCACGATAGTCCGTGTCGAACGTTGCGGTACATTGCGAGCACTTTGTGGCGTTCGACGCAAAGTTTTTCGTCAACCCAAAATTTTGCGATCGGTCGGTGGAGTCAGTACCTACACTTCGCGCTGGCACTCACCCGGGCAATGCATGTATTGAAAAGGCTCGTACCAAATCCCTAAGAAATCACGAACGCCACCCTAAAAACGCATTACAACGTGGCGCATACCATGCCTGCTAACAAAGCAGTTATCACATCACAAATGCGGAGGGCGGTGAATTTAGCCTCTGGTCCCTGGTCGCGTGAATGTACTCGTCATAACTATCGGTACTTTTCTTCCGTAATCGTTCCTTCTTTTCTGTAGGGACGAGCACCAGAACACCCGTGATTGGATTGTCTGGATTATCTGGGTTGTTGAGGAACGTTTCCCTGTAAAGCATGACAGCTTAAGACTGCCGTCGTCTGGTTTCCTACTCGCCCGACCTGTCACCACTGTGCTTTATAATGCGGTGTTAACACAAGAACCACGTCCACATGGAAGAGCCAGCTCACCGTCAAAAGCCCAAGACCGGTTCGGCGGTTGGGGCCGTTCGTGGAATTGCACGAACTGCACGAAAGGCCTGTGGATCTAGGAGGCTAGGTGCTTATAGACACAGTTGTCGATTTGCATTTGTTGGGTGGGCCACTGCCTCCCCCCCCCCTCCCCAGGTCTAATTTGGTCCTGCCAACGACGCATTTGATCCTTAACCTTCTCAAGTCTCAAGTCTGGGTATGCTCAAGCAGAACATTAAATGTGAGAGCTCAAAGCTGGATGCATTTCAAAATATTCAAGGATTCTTTTTATAATTGTGCTACAGGTAAAAGAAACAAAGATGGGGACACCGCAGGGGCACCGGCTTCGGTCGGTGTAGGGGACTAGCACCCCCCCGGGTCCCAGCTCCGGTAACAGGCGGACAGCGCAAGCTGCTCTCTATAGGGCGTAGCGACCCGGCCGGTACGCGAGCTCCCGCTCCTTCTCCCACCCGCTTCCTTCGCATTACCCGCTTTCCCGCATCCGGCTCACTCATCGCTCCTAATCCTCGTTATGTCGGGGTCGTCGTGCTCCCTCGCCTGCGTCCCCGGGTTGATCGGACCCTGGTGGCTGAGGGGCTCGTCGTGCGGTTCAGTCGCGGTGCGTCCCAACACTCCACTTCGGCCAGGATATCCGGGGGCGCGGGGGGCCGTGGGGCCTCACTCTGGTCTAGCAGCTTGACGCTCGCACTGCGGCTGGGTGCTCCCTGCGGGTCTCCGCTTGGGGCGCCTGGCCGTGCGCGGCGGCTTAAGGGGTCAAGGGTCGGCGGTGCTGGACCACGGTCAGGACGGGGAGGGGTCTCCCCGGTTACACCTGGCCGTGTGGGATGCGCCGTTTGCCCCGTATAGCACCAGAGCAGCGCTGGCGGTGACCACCTCGCGATGGAGTGTTGGGCTGTCTCCCAGTTGGGCTCCGTGGTGGGTGGGGAGCCCCGGTGCCG